GGCAGCTACGAATAAACACAAAATGGCAATAAAGTTTTATGAAAGCAAAGCTCGTTACTCGTTCCCTAGAATTGTCCGGGGGTCCAAAGTGCTCTTCATTACATGTTCCACCAGTGGCTACGTACAACATGATGTTACACCCCTGAAAAGTATGTCTATTGTTTACACATGACCGAAATGAAACTCGCTCCCAGACACAAACATACCCCAGTAACGAACGGCGAAATGAACACCATGAAAATGTCATAAAGCAGGAATGAACTAAGAAGCAAGGTCAACCACTAAAAATACAATAGATCAGCAAAATTCACACCAATTGTTGAACATAAATTCAACAAATTTACAAATTATACGATACTAAACTAGCGGAAAATTACACTCTCCTGTCATTTTCTACAGGCAAGCAAATACGCAAGCACGTTGCCCTAGCAAATCAATTATTATCGCTTGACCCCTATAAACAAAACAACTGCGATATGGCCGTAGGAAACGGAAAAAATGAAAAACAGTTGTTGACAAAAATTGAGTTTCTAAGCTGAGAAAAACCTTAAATTTCTGGTTGAACAACCACTCAACTGGAAAGACTGAAGTTTCGACATCAGACCGGCTAAGTGACACTATTTTTCCACACATCGGTTGCTTCCTTGTTGCATTTAATATAACTTTTCATCAGCTTCTCACCAGACATTCTAAAAAGCATGGTCAAGGTACTACACTGAAGCATCTTTTCAACTCAACAGGTTGAACTTTTTCACCTTTTCAACTCAACAGGTTCATCCCACAGCTAAGTACGGTGTCAGAGTCCATTGGTGAACCACCTTATCTAAGAGGGGCATCAGCAGACGAGAAGAACTGGCAAACAAGCATGCCACAACAAACCGGAAAAATAAGCAGATATTTTTTTCTGAGGATATCACAGAAGCTGCACCGTGACTAAAATCGGATTGCTGTAGAGACGTCGTCCAGCTGGCCATCGCCGTGCCACACCCTTAAACAGGTGATACGTAGCTTCTCCTAGTAGATATCGATCTTCTGAAGGCAACGTTTTGGTTTAGAAAATTGAACCGACCGTCTGGTAGAAGTACGCCGCTCATCGTACAGGCGCTAAATGTGATTCAAGCTTCAGAGAAAACCAAGTGCAGCTGCTTTATCGTTACGGATACAGTTTACTTGAAGACCACAAACCTAATTTCTGCTATAGGTTTCACTGCTCTGATCACCTCCATTTTCAATTTCTCCTACTGTAACTGGATCGATTGTTACAATTTGTCTGCGATTCAGGTAAATTAGGAGTGGTTCAGGTAAAGCCTAAGCCATAAAGCATTGCGAATGGAAAACTCACAGAACTCAGAGATGGTAGAAATTGCGATATTGCGCTCTTCACCTAAAGAGAGGGTAATGTCCGCGCTATCAGGTCGCTTATCAGTGGTGGATGGCACATGCCGTACCGTAAGAAAATGAAAACGTGATCCTATTTCTACAACGGTATCGGTGCGTGGGACAATAGGCCAATATTTTGAAATGCGAATTCTCGCTATAACCAACCGCATAATTATAATACCTATTTCCGCTGCAACTAAATGCAGGAATGAACGTAGGTGAATACAATAGTTTGCTTTGTTGCTGTTTTGTCATTCTTATCTAAGGTTAACATCTTAAGATCAGAGTAGCCCTGATTTATGATATCTGATGGTTTGAAATCGGAAGTATGCGCTGAGTGTAAGTTACGCACTTCACACAAAAAATTCGAAACTAGCCCACTATCGGCCTCGCAGCTGAGATTGTTTTGCTCTGATCATCACCCTGAAGCGCTTACATCATCAGAACGTCTCCGATTTGTGAGGACTGCGAAATTTTCAGTCTTTCAACGCTTTTACCATAAGGCATCGCCTGCTGCCTCGTAAAAGTAGCAGTGTAATTACTCGCAGATCTACTCCACCTCCCTTTATGGCTATCATACGGGTAATTAAGGGTTAAATAAAGACAACTGTTTATTCCTTGTTCATTTAAGTTCTCTCGCTTAAACCGCAACCATAATAACTGCAGTATAATGTCGACGATTGATTTAACACAACAAAAATGCTTTCTTTTAAACACTGTACAATGCTTTCTAGCTATGATAAAACAGTAACGTTGCTTATATTTTTTTAAACTTTGATTAGCAGTCTAATACGTGGGAAAAATATCAGGCAATTTTTTATGGGAATCGAAAAGTAGTTGGAATCTTTTACCATAAATCTAATAGAAATTTCATTTACAGTTGCTGAACATCTGTCGTGCAACGAACTGTGTTCGTCAATTGAAAGAGAAGTGCAATGGGAACGGGTTTTATGG